CTTATGGGTGTTCCCTGTCTTTTCCTCCTGGTCTCCACCAGATTTGGTGCTTGGGCAATGAGAGCCGCTTCCACATCAACCAGAGCGTGGAGGGGACGGTGCTGGCCACAGTGTTGCAGGGACTAGTCCCTGGGGTCCCTTACCGTGCTGAAGTTGCTGCTGCCACCAGTGCTGGTGTGGGTGCCCGCAGTGCCCCTGTCCCCATCCGTATCGGTGAGTCCCTCATTGTCACAACTTGCACCCATGGGTGGGGCACGATGGGGTCACCCAGTGCAGTGCTGGGGGTGGCTCCTTGGCACCCCGCCGGTGTGTCCCTCTTTCCCGTGTCACTTGCAGCCCCCCTGGTGGAGCGAGATGCGGAGCCAGCAGGCGGGAGCAGCTTGGCTGAGCAGTTAGCAGAGGTAGCCAGGCAGCCAGCCTTCATTGCCGGTGTTGGTGGTGCTTGCTGGGTCATCCTCGCTGCCTTTGCTGCTTGGCTCTACAGCCGCCGCCGGAGGAAGAAGGAGCTCAGCCACTTCACTGGTACAGGGCGGTGCTACCCCTGGGGCCCCTCACCCCTCACCCATCAGCCACCCACTGTCCCTCTCTTTACAGCATCCTTTGCCTACACACCCACCGGTAAGCCCATAAGTGCTGCGGGGTCCCAGTTCGGCCTCTCGCTGCCCTCACCCCCATCTCTTTCCACAGTCTCCTTCCCGGCTCCAGTGCGCAGCAACCCCAGGTAACGCCCCCGGCATCCCCTGCCCTCCCCGGCATCCCCTGCCCTCCCCGGGAGCCCCAGGGCTGACCCCCAGCATTCCTTCACCCCATCCCCTTGCAGGGCAGCTGCTGGCGCTGGTTACCCGTGGCTGGTGGATGCGTGGCGTGGTGGCAGCACAGCCAGTGCTGCCGGTTGCCTGGGGACCTCTGAGAGATACTACAACGGTGAGGGGTCAGCAAGGGGCTGGGTGGCTCTGATCGGGGGAGTCATGATCGTCCCTGCTGATGCTGGTCACCCTCTGCAGATGCCGGCATCACCCGTTACATCGCCCAGACAGAACAGTTTGGAGCGGGGGCTGGCGAGGGTCCGGTCTACAGCACCATCGAGGTTGACAGTGAGGAGCTCTGCACATTCCCCCGCCCCTTCTCACAGTATGGGGCCTCCTACCCTGGCGGGGGTCCCCAGCCAGTGGATGCTGCAGCCTCCCAGGTGCCCCGTGGCCGGGCTGAGCACGGTAGGGTGGTCGGATGGGTGGGGGCACACGCGGGTGCTGGTGGTGCCGTGCCCTCCCCACAGCCCCCCCAGCATCCCTCCTTGGCACAGGGGCCAAAGCAAAGCTGGGGCAAGCAGTGAAACCGCCGGCAGTGAGCTGGACAGAGCTGCTGCCCCCGCCGCCCTCAGCCAGTGAGCTCAGCCAGTGTGCCCAGGAGGAGGAGAAGGAGGAGGAAGAGGAGGATGAGGAGGAAGAGGCAGCCGGAGGGTGAGTGTGGGGGCTCGGGGGCTGGGCATGCTGCCCCCAGCACCTACCCTGTGGTCTCCACCCTGCAGGCTGGGGATGGAGGTGTGGTACCCTGGTGAGGACATCCCCTGTGCCACCGCTGCATCCTCACCCACCACCTCCTCCGGCTGCCGTTCCACCGCCACGCTGACACCGTCACCTCGCACCACGGAGGACATCCCTCGCCTCCGCGACTTCGATAGCTCCCTCCTGCCCCGGTAGGAGATGGGCCTTGCTTGCTAGGGCCGTGCCATTGGGCTCTGGATGTCCCCCATTGGGGTCCAGATGTCCCATCAAGGTCCAGATGTCCCACCATGGCCTGGGTGTTCCATCGCTATTCAGCCATGCTGTCACTACCCAGCCCTGCCATGCCGTCATGGTCCAGCTGTGCCATTAGGGTCCAGGTGTCTCATTGGGGTCCAGATGTTCTGTTGGGGTCAGGATGCTTCACCACGGTCCAGGTGTTCCATCACAACCCAGACATTTCGTCACCATTGGCTCTGCCATGCTGTCATGGTCCAGATGTGTCACCCATGCTGTCACAGTCCAGCTGTGCCACCAAGGTCCTGGATCTGGATCAGGCTCTGGATGTCCCACCATGGCCTGGGTGTCCCATCACAATCTATCCCCGCTATCATGATCTGGTCCTGCCGTGCCACCATGGTCTGGCCATACCATTGGGGCCTGGATGCCCCAGTGGAGTCTGGATGTCCTACCATGGTCCAGGTGTCTCTTTGTGACCCATCCATGGTGTCACCATCCACCCCTGCTCTCCAGCTGTGCTCTGCCCATGCTGTCATGACACATCCATGACATTGTGGGCTGACTGGGGCATTGCAATACAGCTGCCCCATCATGATACAGCTGGGCCATCATCACTCACCTGTGCTGTCGTGACCCAGCTCTGTCATGATCCACCTGTGCCATCTCAATTCTGGCATGGCCCTGCAGTCTAGCTGTGCAGCTGCAATCAAGTGCCATGATTGCAGTCCAGCTGTGCTATGGCCCAGCTGTGCAGCTACAAACTGCATGGTTGCAGTGCAGCTGTGCTATGATCTAGGTATGTCATGATTTAGCTGTGCAGCTGCAGTCTGCCAGTGTGCTTGAAATCCAGATGTGTGGTGATCCAGCTGTGCTGCTGCAATCCAGCTGAGCAGCCTCTACCCAGCTGTGCTCCAGATGTGCCATTGCAGGCCAGCCATGCTATCACAACCTTGCCAGGCTGTGCCACTGCACTCATCCAGCTCCCCTTTGCCACCCCAGCTGTGTGGCTGTGATCCAGCTGTGGCACTTCAGCCCAGCTACACCAGTGCCATCCAGCTGTGACAATTCCACATGGCTTCTTCCAGCTCTGGCACAGTTCTAGAGGGCTTATGCCAGCACTGTGGTGGCCACTAAGCCCCCACCCCACACCCCCCTACCCTGGCTTCACTCCACCCCCCTCTTTGCCAGGAGACCCCCCCACGGCGTCAGCACCCCCCCACAGGCACCCAGTCCCTCGGTGACTCCGGATGCCAGCGAGGGCCACCCGCCCCGAGCCCGCTGCCCTCCTGGCACAGGTGAGCCCTGAGGGGCCAGGTTGGGTGGGTGGGGGTCTCATTGCCTCCCACTACTGGGGGGGCTGACGCTGCCATCCCCACCCCCCAAGGGAAAACCCGCGGTGTGATCTCCAAAAGTCGCCTGAAGCCCAAATGCAGCCGCTACCGCCGGGAAAAGCAGACGGGAGGTGAGTGGGAATTAAAACCAGGGAGTTCAGGAGGCTCAGGGGAGCTCAGCCCTGTCCTCCCTCTCTGCCGCAGACCTTCCACCGCCGCCGCTGCCGCCGCCGGGCGAGACCCCCGGGCCCTGTGCGGAGCTGGAGCCGAGCGGGGCTGAGCGCAGGGTCACCCCCCGCCCGCCCCGCGGCGGTAAGGCACAGCCACCGACTGACTGCGCGACAAAAGGGCTGGGGCTGTCACCGCCGAGCCCCAACCTTGTCCCCTCCCCTGCAGATGAGGTCGTTCCCTACAGCAAACCCTCCTGCCTGCCCCGCGGGCAGGTGTCCGGCAGCTGCTCCACCACGGGCAGCGTCTCGTCCCGCGGCTCCAGCAGCTCCCGCGGGCACGGCTCGGGGCGCAGCCGGACACCGGGGGACCGCGGCGAGGGGAGCGGCCACTGCCGCCGCCCCGGGGCCCCGTATCCCTGCACGCCTCAGGAGAAGCGATAAAAGGGAGGGCGAGTCGGTGACAGAGTCGGGGACATGGGGATGGGAACGCAGGGGACACGGAGGGATGTTTTTTAATTTCTGAGCGGCTCCATGGAAATAGGGTTGCACAGAGGTCGCGGCCGGTGGGCATCAGCGTGGGGGGGGGACAGGGATTCTTGGGGTGGGGCAAGGAATTCACAAGGAATGAGGACCCTGGGGAGGGACAAGGATGCTCAGGAGGGACAAGGAAAATGCTCAGGGAAGGACATGAACCCTGGGGGCAGAAACAGTTGGGACAGATGAGCAGAAAAGGGATGAGGGCGCTGGGGAGGGGTGAGAAGGATGCTTAAGTGGGGCAAGGATCCTGGGACAAGCACAGCTGGGAGAAACAAGGATGCTGGGAAAGGACAAGGACGTCTAGGAGGGATGAGGTGATTGAAAGGGAAGGGGACAGTTTGTGGGGGACAAGACATGGCGGGGACAAGGACACAGCAGATGGATGAGGGTGCTGGTGAGGGACAAAGAAGGCTGGGGGACAAGGATGCCTGGATGGAAGAGGACATGGAGGAAGGACAAGGATTTCCAGGGGATTGAGGATTGCTGGGGGGAAGAGGACACTTGGGAAACACAAGATTGCTTGGGAGGGACAAGGACAGTAGTAAGGGACAAGGAGGATGGTTGCAGGGGGATGAGGACAGCAGGGAAGGAAAAGGACACTTGGCATGGGGGACAAAACACCTGAATGAAGGATGGGGACACTAAGGAGGGCTGAGAAGCCTGGGAATGAGGATGATTAGGAGGAACAAGGACATTTAGAGGGAGCGCAAGGTCACTCAGGTGGCTTGGGAAGGATGAGAACACTTGGGAGAGACAAGGATGGACAAGGTAGGACAAGGATGCTGAGGAAGGGCATGAACTATCAGAAAGCACAAGGACAGTTGGAAGGAATGGGAAAAATCAGCAGGAATGGGGATGTTCAGGGGGCCAACAACCCTAGGAAAAGACAAGGACACAGGATGGACAACAGTGCTGGGGCTGGAGAAGGATAGTTAGGGGGGATGAGGATGCTGGGGAAGGAGGAGGACAGTGAGGAAGGACAAGGACACTTAGAAGGATGCAGACTCTTGGGGAGGATGAGGATACTGGGGAGAAATGAGGAATTTGGGAAGGAGTGGGGATGCTGAGGAGAGATGGAGACACTGTGGAAGAAGGAGGACACTTGGGAAGGACAAGAATGCTGAGTAAGAAGGGACACCCACCCGCCTTGGTGCCACCCACAAAGGGTGGCACTTTTCTTTTTACTTTTCCTAGTAAAGAACCCCTGTTTGGGGAACTGCCTAATAAAGCTGGATTTTAGCTGAGTCAAGGGGACTCTGGCCTTGCTGCGTCCTGCTCCTTGGGGACTGCCATGCTCCTGTTCCTCCTGTCCCCAGCTCGCCACCTTCCCTGGCCCAGGGGCTGCCAATCCCTGACCCCTGGCCACCTGGAAAGCAAAGGAAACATTTTCCAACACCCTGCAACACCTCACCACCCCCAGTGCCCACCACCCTGGCATTGGGGCACTACTCACCATTCTGTGAGCTACTGTTCATGGCTGCCCCTGTCCTGGTCCTCTGTGGGACCTCCAGTGCTGTCCACCAGTCCCAGGTGGTAGTGTGGACTCCAGGTGGGAAGATCTGCTCCAAGGGTGATGGTGGTGGGGAGGGACCTGCAGGGAAGAAGGCAAGAGACGGTGGCGTCACCATGGTGCCATGATGGAGCCATGCTCCTTGGGGAGGTGACAGTGCTCAGGGTCAGAGAGGGGGTCCAGGGAGCCTTCACTCACCTCCATAGACCCCATCAGTGTCCTCAAGGCTGCAGCAGAGGCCATCGACAGCCACGGCCAGCGCCCGGGCGAAGCTGGCGTCCAGGAGGAAGGAGCTGTCACAGGAGCTCACCAAGCTGCAGCGAGTGCTGGCAAAGTTGTCCTCTGAGACAGACCCCCAGCCGTTCAGCAGCGACCCTCCCGGCGAGCCCCTGGTGGCTGTGCGCTCTTCCTCCTCCTCCTCTTCTTCCTCCTCCTCCTCCTCCTCACCTAGCTCAGAGGTTGGTGGCCCATAGATGTAGCCGTAGGTGTGCAGGGGTGAGAAGGACCGTGGTGTGGTCGGTGCCGCGGGTCTGTGGGGAACACAGTGGGGGTAACTGCTGGCACCAGGGAATGCTGCAATCATGGGAGTGTCCCGGGGGATGGGGAATACCTGCAGCAGGGAGTGTCCTGGTCCATCTCCAGGACCTCAGCCACCTGCTGTTGTGTGAGGACTCCATCACTGAATGCTGGCGAGAGGCGCCCGGCAGCCAGGGAAGTGTCCTTGGGGTACCTGCTAGCCAGGAATATGTCCCTTGGGTGCCTGGTCTCCAGGGACATGTTCCTGGTGTGGCTGGTGGCTGGGGACAAGTCCTTGGAGTACCTGGTGCCCAAGAACATCT